TTTGCCCGTATAGCGGCACTATGGCCTACTTTGATATTGAATTACAACTGTCAGAGTGTCTTTTACGTGCATGCCAATATGTACATGGGGACTTGATTTTCTTAAAACCCGAACAACTATACCTTATCCCTTTGCCAGATCCTCCGCCCTGCCACAGTCCATAGAAAATTTCCGTCATAGCACTCTGCATCGCGTATGACTATCTTCAATAGTCCGATTGGTGCAGAAAAGTATGAAAATGAATTTTAAATGGGGTTGAACATCCTACTATTCTGTTCCAAGTGGGCTAATGAAGAAGGGCATATGCTATAATGGTTAAAATGTTGTGATTTCGGGTTAAAATGCCGTGATGTTGGGTGATATCAGTCACCATATCTACTGGGTTTCTTTAATACTCATATTTATAGTATTTTATATAGTCAGACTAGTGCACCAGTGGACTAGTGAACGCACGGATTAGTGTACCCGCGGACTAGTGAACCCGCAGACTAGTAATTGGTAATGATGGAAAAGTGTGTAAAGACCTCTTTTATAGGTTGGCGTGCACTTAGAACTATTGGTAATGACTGTATGCTGAAATGCTGCTCTCCAGGCAGAATGTCTTTCCTGGCACATCTTCATTAGTAAGTGTGGTAATGCTTCTTTCCAGGCAAAATTTCTGTCATAGCACATCTTCATTACTAATTTTGATAAAGCCACGGTGCGTAAGATGCTGGCTCGGTAATCCGGAGGGCACGTGTTCGATCACTGCATTGGTGGAGAAAGTTCATCAGGATTTTCCGACATGGTTTCCCCTTGTCAGAGGTGCAGGAACGGAGGGCCTGACAAGGACAGTAGTCTAGTCACTCAGATGGGACAAAAAACCGAGGTACCATGTATACATTGGCATGCACGAAAAGATCCCTTGGCAGTTGGATTCGATATTAGTAGGCCATAGTACCGCTGCTGGGGCAAAATTTCTCTCATAGCACATTGTATGGCATATATCTTTCTTCATTAGCCCAGTCGAAGCAGAACAGTAGGACGTTAAACCGATTTCATGAGGACAAACCTACATGAGGAAAAACCTACATTTCACAAACTTAGTAATCAGTAACACACTGACATGCAAATGAGGGGTTCAATCTCAGTGTTGGTTGAGAAAAATGAAATGAAATCGGGTTTAACGTCCTACTGTTCTGCTCCTAAACTGAGCTAATGAAGACGAGCATACGCCATACAGTATGCTATGAAGGAAATTTTGCCCGGGCAGCGGCGCTACGGCCTACTCTTATATCAAATTCCAACTGCCAAGGGATCTTTCATGTGCACTCCAGTGTGTACACGGGACCTCAGTTTTTCATCCCTGACTAGACAGCTGTCCTTGTCAGGCTCTCCGTCCTGCATCACTGACAAGGGGAAACCACGCCGGAAATCTGGATGAACTTTCTCGGCCAATGCAGGGATCGAACACCCGACCTCCAGGCTAGCGAGCCAGCGTCTTACCCACTTAGCCACATGATCGCCCAGAAATGGATACAAATGGGTAGCAAGGCATATAAAAATGTAATTTGAATGTATATAAACTGAATTACATTCAATCATTTCTGTTTTTACTGTAATTTCTAATCGGTTATGTTTGGCGAAATATGAGAAAAGTCCAAATCTGTGGCAGCATGCAAGAACCTGATAACCCACATTTTCCCCAAAATTGAGATAAGAGTGCCATTGAACGTAGATGGGTAGTATCCATCTTGACTGTAATCATGAAGACACTGTGAATATATTTGACATGATAACCAAGTCTATAATAGTTTTAACCTGATATAAAAATAAGCATATTCCATGCAAGAACCTGATAAGCCTCATAATATCTGATTTGTGTGCCAACGTTTCCATGCAAGAACCTGATAACCCACAAGTCACACCCAAGGTCATTTATCTCGGGTTGGTTCCTTTCGATATTCGCGCATATCGGATCGTAACTTCATGGATTATGGCGCTCGTAACTAAGTTTAGTCATTTCAGGACTAACACATGGTTCAATTTTATTTCTATAATTCGCTTGCGCGTAGGGGTCTTTAGCAGTGGGAGTAAACCAGAGGACCCGGAGAAAACCCACGAGGTTGGACAGGCGACCCTACTCCTTGTCACGTGCAACCGGGGAATCGAAACCCCGCCAGTTGACTCAATGACAGACCTTATGATACAGCACGCACGTGCTAACCATTCGGCCATCCAACCCCGCAAAATGGCTGCATATAGTGCAAAAGTATGTCATACCAAGGTTTGATCCCTCTAGAAGTCACATTTTTATCCGATCTTGATGAAACTTAAAATATATGTTTATATCAAAACGATCTCGGTACCTGTCGATATTTGCATATATCGGGCCATGACTTCCTGGGTTATGACCCCCGATTGTGTGAAAAATCACGTTTTTAGCTTGTGGACCCTATAGAGGTCACAATTTTCATCCAATTTAAAAACGGTTTAAATATATCACTGTTACCATAATGATGATTTGAGTTCGAATTTCGTAAAAACTACCTGACAAAATTGCTACCACTTGTACGCAAATAGTGTAAAAGTACGTAATACCAAGTTTGTGGAATGTGGGCCCTCTAGAAGTCACAACTTTTATCTGATATTGATGAAACTTGACATATATGTTTATATCCAACAAACAAATCTTGGTTTCTTTCGATATTTGTGCATATAGGACCGTAACTTCCTGGATTTTGGTCACTGTTTCTATAAAAAAAAATCACATTTGTTTTAGTTTTTTCTCTGTACATCTCTTGCAAAATGTGGGCGTATCTTGCATGGTAACCGCTGGTTTAATTGTTGTAATTAATTAAAATTGGTATTTTCATTGAGTCGAAAACTGAATGGAATCGAGTTCATGCAGGGCTAAAAAAATATTGTAAAGATCCCTACACGCATGTGAATGATTGAAATAAAATTGTACCGAACGTTTGTCCCGAAATGACATATTTTGTGTCAAGTGGACATTATAATAACTCAATAATTAAGACGCTTTGTATTGTCAACACACTTTCATAACATATAATGCATTTTTCTTATTTTTATGTCACGAGATAGCGGTCTATCAAGGTTGTCCACGGCGTTCTAACCCGTTTTGCTGATGTTTAAGTCAAGGGAGGATTTAAGCGCCGGGGGGGGGGGGGGCGATCCAGTGGGCGCACTTTAGAACCGGATTCTTGTCTCAGGTCACTGGAAATGGCATTTTTGGGCTTCTACCTTTTGAAATTGTCAGGAGTGGGCCACCTGGACCACCTGTTGAGCGCTTCGTCACCCGAGCCCCCCCCCACCCCACAAAACCCATGGTCGTTGAGTCCACCCTTGATATTCCTAGCATATGTGGGATTTTTGTATGTGTTGTTTCAGTTGATTTATGACGTATTTTATAAGATTAGAGCCAACAAACCTTCAATGGGATTTCATCAATGTGGCTTATCAGGTTTTTGCATGGAAAATTCAAAAAATATTATCTCAGAAATTCATATTTGCCCAAAAGTTTCCGTAAGGTTTGCAGTTACAAGAGAGATTATCATCCAGAATTTTTATACGATGCCTCTGTACACATTAAAATCACAAAACATCAAATAGAGATCATAGATTTGGAATTATAGACCACAGACTTCAGTTGCATTTTTCTCAAATAGAATGTCATGTGGCTTATCAGGTTCTTGCATGGTGCCACAGAAATTGAATGACAGTCTTTTGCGTCTGATTATTCTAGTCTAAACCAGTAGTATTCTCCTGTGGGATATGTTTAGCCTTGTTCATCGAGTCGCTTCATTACAAATGACACTGAAAATCATTCTGGCAGACACGCTCAATTTTTTTTTGTGTCTGCACACCCATTTCTTCTTTGTGTGTCTGTGCCTACAGACACGCTATCGCGTCTCGTGTTCTAATGATTCAAGCATGGTTAAATGGACAATAAACCCCCTCTAAATACGTAACAGGAAGTGTTAATCTCCTAAATCGAACCTCAAGCTCGCTTCTCCATTTTTAACTGAAATCATTAAATGGCGATCGTATTGTAATCCGTTTACTTATGGGCCATCCGATGTTCTAGAGAATTGGTTATAAGCTTACGTATCATGTGAAGAAATGTCTTGATAATTATTTATATAACATTTGAGTTCAAAATAAAATCCTGTAATAGTCAGATTTAGCTTTAACATAATGCATCTTTAACAGTAAATGCAGGAGAGTCATAAAACACATAAACAATTAAACAATTACACAAGACAAACAGTATATCACACCAAGTGAATTGATCCGGAAGTCGGTCGTAGGGGACCACGGCGCTTTACAGTATCCTTCTAATTGTATTTTGATGCGAGTGATTCTACTGATATACGAAAATCCCTTAAAACAATGACTGCACAAATGATCAATAATCCCCTGGAGGCTGACAATTTGAAATATTGAGTAGTACTTCACTGGATGTTATAGTGATGAAGAAAGGCAGGGTTAGAACTATTGAGTGCATTAAATTACAATAACAGCAGGCCTGAAAAGCAAAAATAGTTGGGAATTAATAATTATCATTTTTGCAAATTATGATGTTTATTACAAACTTAAAATTGTCACTGGAATATTGATAAGTATTAAATATTACACGTAATTAAGGGAGATCCCTGGTTTGTCAGCATTAACCAAGCATTGTTGTGTACATGTATATATTGTCCTGTCATATTTTCATTTTTTTATCATAGCTTGATAATGACTAGAGAAGCCTAGTCGAAACGTCGCTCAGTAAAAAGCAGTAATTGTATTCCATAGAATTGTGACCTGTATACTCTAGTTCAATTACTAAATGCCATTGAAACAGTTTAATATGAATATTTGTTTCATCTCGCGATCAAGGTGCTGCAGTATGTGGATGTTAAAATTGGGAGTATAACTAGTATGACCGTTGGTCCAGATATTTAGAATATATTAAAATGTAGCAAAAAAACTAATCCTTCTTATTCATCTTTCAGTTAAGAATCCCCAAGGATACCCCCCACAGCAAGGAAATCCCACGCAAAAAGGAGATCCCCCGCAACAAGAAGATCCCTGGCAATATGCCCCTCAGCAGGTATATCCCTCACAACAAGGATATGGTCAAGGATATGCCTCACAACAAGGATATGGTCAAGCGCAATACCTAGTCGGTAGCAATGTTATTGTAAGTATGAATTATATGGTCTTTACTTATATCTACTTTCAGTTTGTTGGTTTTTAATTTATCACTAGACTACGGCCATTTTATCTTTACTAGATAATTCGAGATGGAATGCATAATGCCTACTATTTAAGTTTAAAATGTTGAGTGAGGTTTTAAAGATATGCATCCTTAACCTAATAAAACTGATGGTTGCAAGGATCTTTGATTACTCTTGGGGGAGGTGGGGGGTCAGGGGCTTAATAGATCATAAGGTCTATTAAGTGGCGTGGTTTCGATTCCCCGCTTGTACCTGAAGGGTCACCTGTCCAACTTCGTAGATGTTCTCTGGGTCCCTATGGCGGGGTATCAGGTTCAAAATACGATCTGCAGTAGACAGTAGAAAATAAAAAGCAAAAGAGAAAATTCTTATCCAAAATGGACATTTTCCTGTGGGAAACATATACCGCTCGTGCTTTTCAACCTAATACGTCCACCTTTTCAAATTTAAGTCGTAAATATTCTACTTTCAACAACAGAATTTCTACTTTCAACAACAGATTTCTACTTTCAATAATGAACTTTTGACATACGACTGTCAACTTCAGATTTTCTCCATGCATATTACGGAAATAAATTTCATCACGTGACTATTTCTGCATGTCATTAAAATACGGTATTTTCCCGGAAAAATAAATGATCCCATAGAAAGATAACTCTTAACCGCACTTCCGCTTTCAATCTTTGTTGCACATGGACTCAGACTAGCAATTATTTGCCCATTGACTTTAATGTTAAATGGCTGTAACATCACAGGCTGTAGCTTTTTGCTCAACATTCCGTTGGTTCCAATCTTTATAGGCAAAATGGGGACCACATTTGGCAATATCCTCATCATAAATTTGTAGGGGGTTGACCATTTAGATTTTTTGCTACGGGGATTTGATGTTGACTTGGGTGAAAATCTCACTTCCGACACAATGATTGCTCTGCAGAAAGACACTTTACACCCATAGGCGTACGAACCAGGGGGGCAGGGGGGGGGGGGGCACTTTCGGGCAAGCTGACTTTTCGGGCAGACGGGTAAAGTGCCCGAAATCTAATAAAACACTAATTTTACGGGCTGGAATAGCAGTTAAACGCGTTCGCGGCTGTTAAATATTCCACAATTTTCTGAGGGGGGGGGGGCATACAAGGTCAGCTTTGCTTCTTCGCTTCTCGAAGAAAACCGGCGCCATTGTCTGTAAACCTGAAATTTTTTCGGGCATTTCTAGTTTTGCTTCCCTAACTATCACCGAGCCCTTACTTTTCTTTTAATTGAATACCACGAATTTGTACTGAGTTGACTATGGATTAAAACATTGTCTGGAGCCACTCTACTTTATGTGACAGTTTTCGGGCATCGATTATTATTTGTGAATGCAGCTGCAACAGTCTGATTGGATGGTTCGAATTCAGAATGGGATTTCGTTTACAAAGCCATTGGATACTTTTTGAGTTGCTTACACGGGCTAGAATAACAGAAAACGCCTTTGCGGTGGTTAAATTTTCCATTGATTGATTGATTGGTTGTTTGGACCTCGGGTCAGCCAGGTAGGCTATATTGGACCAAATTGAAGTTGCTGTATTCACAGGCTAGAATAGCAGGAAAACGCGTTTGCGACAGTCAAATTTTCAAAATGTTCTCCCAACTGTCCCGTCTCCGTGGACTGTAAATGATTGATTAGAATTCGAGTCAGCCATCTTAATTAGGCTCTATTAGAGGAAGACCGGCGTCGCTGTCTGTAAACCCGAATTTTTTTCGGGAATTTCGGGTTCTGCCCCCCTAACTGTCATTGAGCCCGTACGCCTATGTTTACACCCCCTATCCCTCCGCTCTAATATCATCAGTATTACCCAACACTGCTATGAAATTGCAAATTTGATCCCTTTTCTCCAATTCTAGACCAAAAAGTCAACCCAAAAATGAAGGAAGAGGAGAGAAAAAAATTATGGGAAAAATTGTCTATTTATAACTCGCACTACTTCTGGCCTTTTTGCCCACCTCCAACTTTTCCCCAAATTTTCGTTGGGCTGAATGCTTTTCACTACATACAGAGGAACAAATGGCCATGTCTTTGCACTAAAATTTGTATGAGGTTGACCACCAAAATTTTGAGATAAACAAACTTGAAGAAGCATACTAAAAACATGTAACTAGTTGCCGTACATATCACCGTAGCCAACCTGATAACTCCGTTATCCTTCCGCTTCAAAATCATAAATATTTACCAAAACCTGGCAGAAAATGTTAATTCAAACCTTCTTCGTCCATTCTAGACCAAATAATCAACAAAAATGGGCATGCAAAAGGGGAGAAAGGAGACAGAGAGAGAATTGCTATAAATAGACGAACTACAATTTGGTGGTCTGCGTCCTTATCTTAGTCTTACAACTAGAGTTATCTTTCCCTGGGATCGTTTATTTTTCTGGGCCCTGATTCACGAAACTTTAACTAAAGATAAAATCCAAATTTTAGTAGATACCTCAATTTTGATTGGCTAAGCACTAAAATCAATCTAATATTATCCAATCAAATAACTAAAATTTGGATTTTATCTTAGTTAAGTTTTCGTGAATAAGGGCCCAGGGAAAATTCCGTATTTTAATGACATGCAGAAATAGTCACGTGATCAAATTTATTTCCGTAATATACATGGAGAAAATCTCGAGCAGAAAATCTCGAGTAGAAAATCTGAAGTTGAAAGTCGAATGTCAAAAGTTGATTATTGAAAGTAGAAATTCTGTTGTTGAAAGTAGAATATTTACGACTTAAATTTGAAAAGGTGGACGTATTAGGTTGAAAAGCACGAACGGTATATGTTTCCCACACGAAAATGTCCATTTTGGATAAGAATTTTCTCTTTTGCTTTTTATTTTCTACTTTCTACTGCAGATCGCATTTTTAACCTGATACCCCGTCATAGGTCCCCTGGTTTTGTTCCACAGATAAAGGCCCCAACGCGCAGGCGAACTATTGAAATAATGTTGAAGCAAGTGCTAGTCCGGACATGACCTAGTTTATGTCGAGTGGACGTTAAACTAAAGATATGTAACACAAACTGACTAAAATTAGCATTAATGATTTTACATTACAGTTTGATTTCGCCGTTACTTCAAGAGAGACCATAGAAATGAAATACTCCTAAACTGGGCTAATGAAGACGGGCATACGCCATACAGTGTGCTATGAGGGAAATTTTGCCCGGGCAAGGGCGCTACGGCCTACTCTTAGATCGAATTCCATCTGCCAAGGGATCTTTTACGTGCACGCCAATATGTACACGGGACCTCGGTTTTTCGTCCCATCCGAACGACTAGACAACTGTCCTTGTCAGGCCCTCCGTCCTGCATCACTGACAACTTTCTCGGCTAATGCAGGGATCGAACACCCGACCCCCAGGCTAGAGAGCCAGCGTCTTACCCACTTAGCCACGTGATCCCCAAAGACCATAGAGGATCAGTAAATAAGCCCTAACTCACGAAAAATGATGTTACGACGAGGTACAACATCAAAATGGTACAACCTCAATTGTTGTTTGGAAATAGAAGCGGGGCCACAGCGGATTCAGTTCATAAGGCCCTGGCGCACTAACCCTGAGATTCCGTGTTTAATCCCAAACATATTGGGCCAGACTAGGGTTATTATTGAAAATGATACTAATTATAAGTTATTTATTTGACCAGAGATTTTTTTATGGTTTCAGGTAACAACACAGCCACAGCTGTCAACACTCCACGTGACAAAACCCCCGGATTATCTGGGATTCTCCATCTTTGTTTGTCTGTGCTGTTGCTGTCCAATTGGAACCGCTTCAATAATTTATTCATGCGGGGTAAGTATTTGAAATTGAATGAAATATTTGAGAGAGAGAGAGAGAGAGAGAGAGAGAGAGAGAACAACACAAACTAAATCATTTTTTCGACAAGAGTCCCTACTCCTTCCTTGTCACATAAAGGCTGTCAATCCTAACCACGCCCCTCTCCCCTCCCACCCCCCTCTCTCTCTCTCTCTCTCTCTCTCTCATAGTCCATAAATCGATGCGCAAATTGTCCACGAGACAATTATGCCAAGTTTCATGTCGCTGGTATTTTTGAGCCTTAGTTATTTTTTAGCAGTGCATGACCCACAAGGCGAACAAGAATATGAGCAGCCTTAGTCCTGTAAGTAATTGAAAGATTTAAAATCTTTCGGCGTTTTAATGTATGCTTACCATAACTCTATTTCAGTCACGTGATGCCTTTACTGCTGGAGATGTGAAAACTGCTCAAGCCAATGGATCAACGGCTCGTACTTTAAACTTTATTGGACTGGTACTGGGTATTTTATGTATCACAGTATACTGGGCAGCGTAAAAATGTAGGCTTTCATTTTTAAAAAAATATAATAATTAAAGATATTAAAATTCTATTTTAAATAGGCCTATAACATTTTTCAATAAACATTATTTACGTTGATTGGTTTCTCTTTTTACAAACAAGTATTAACCAAAAACAACTTGAGAATGAATATTTTGCATATTGCTTTGGGTGTCATGTAATGTTTTGACGGCCTTTATAATTATAGGCCCCCTAATACTATGAGATTGTCAATTTTACTGCACAAGAATATATTAAATTATTATATGAGGGGATCACGTGACTAAGTGGGTAAGGCGCTAGCTCGCTAGCCTGGAGGTCGGGTGTTCGATCCCTGCATTGGCCGAGAAAGTTCATCCAGATTTTCCGGCGTGGTTCTCCCTTGTCAGTGATGCAGGACGGAGGGGCTGACAAGGAAAGCTGTCTAGTCGTTCGGATGGGACGAAAAACCGAGGTCCCGTGTACACATTGGCGTGCACGTAAAAGATCCCTTGGCAGTTGGAATTCGATATAAGAGTAGGTCGTAGTGCCGCTGTCCGGGCAAAATTTCCCTCATAGCACACTGTATGGCGTATGCCCGTCTTCATTAGCCCAGGTTAGGAGCAGAACAGTAGGACGTTAAACCCCATTTCATTTCATTTCATTTATTATAAATCTGAAGTTTGCTCTAGATATCCATGACATTAGGTCTGATCTGTGTTCAGAGTTACTTTTATTTTTGTGATTTTTTTGTCAACTGATTATTTAGAAATAGAAAATTTAATTTATACTGTGTACTATTATGGAATTATCTGCCATACAAACTGAAGTTAACCATACAGCATACTATTACTAGATAATCACAGAGTAAATTGAATTACTGAATGGTTTAAAATTAGTGATAGTGCTTCAGTAAATATTTTATTGGTTGGATTAAGGCCTACCAGTAAAAAGGAGAAATGTGATTTTTAATAGCATAACAGTATTAGGCTTACTGTTTTATTAAAAGCTTATTGCAAATGAAAATTGAGCAAAATAATATTTCTGTTATGAAATTTGGAAAGGTATATAAATATAACATACCATAAACTTAACACTTAAATTGTTTACCACAAGTAATTGTAGGCCTACATAGAATCACATTTTTCGATACACAATCTTAGAAAAAATTAGTCTTGTCCATTATCCTTTTGCCAGAATACAACAGATTCTTCAGAAAATATAGTTGGTTCCCTCGCACATGATTCTTTTTCAATTGCTTTTAATGACAACATATGAATCTAACTTTATTTTATTCGGTGTACTGTAGGCCTGTTATTGTGTTTGTAGATTTTATTTGTTTTTACAAAAAATATAGAATGTAAAAAGAACATGTGCAACTACAGACAGTAAAGCTTTCTGTTTAAAATTTGATCCTTTAAAAATCACAACTACATGTAATTCTAAAATTACGAAACTACTAAAAACAGGGACCTACAATTTAAATTACCTGGTATTAATACGTGTATTAGACCTAGATGACATGTCATGGAGTCAAGTGGCGTGGTTTCGATTCCCCGTTTGTACGAGACAGAGAGTAGGGTCGCTTGTCCAATCTCGTGGGTTTTCTCCAGGTCCCCCAGTTTCCTCTCACTGCTAAAATAGACCCATCAATCAAGTGAATTATTGAAATAAAACTGAACCATGTTAGTCCCGAAATTACCTAGTTTGTATCGAGTGGACGTTAAACCAAATTTCTCTCTGGTCTCTGAAGTCTCTCCCTACATTACATTAATAGCACATTGATTTGATTTGATTTAGCTTAGACAAGTTAGAGCGAGAGGAGGTCATATTATCTAAGATAAAGACGTATAGATCTACTTGAACTTCTAGGCCTACAGTACTCAGTACTCTACATTGGAATATATCATTATAAATAAACAATATAATATCAATTAAGCCTAACCAATCAAATATGAAAACATCTTTCACCAAATATGTACTCTTACAAAATATAATTTCTGATGATATAGGCCCTATATTGCTGTTCTTATGATTTATTATATCAATGTTATTATGGCTCAGGTATATATTTATATAGCACTAGGCCTAGCACTCGACGATGACCCGTATCGTACTCGTAGCAGAAGACGCGACGTAGACTGAGCTCTTTTTCTTCAGGAATGCTGAATTTTTTTAATCCCTCAATAGTCCCTCAACCTATAAAATTCTGGAAACTATGGTGACTCAGTAGTTAAACATACATTATGCAAGAGCTAAATCTGCCTATTGCAAGTCTTTATGTAGGCTTCAGATGTTATAGAAATTATTAATTAGACCTTTATTTACACAACAAGCTCAAAATCAACCCTGTAGACCCACGGATGGTGTGGATACAGTTTGGATTTAAACAGTCGTCTATTTAAAATTAAATCAATAAATGGCAGATCAAGCTAACGTTTTCCGTTAGTCGCTGATGTCACTACCGGAAACTGGCGATGAAAGGCCTGCTAAGCGAGGCTACCATAGCCATTTAGTTATCGTCTGTCAATTCTCATAGACGGTGCAGACACAATTGATGCCAATTTCTAGTCCAAACTTTCAACAGTGACAATTCCGTTCAGAACAAAGTAATTTGCATGAAATTTTCAACATTTTCTTTTCTTTTATCATCTATGTTTGAATTATTATAGCAAGAATGGCGAACTCGTTATAAAAATCTTAACTAATGTACCTTTAAGGCGCTGGTTCACACACCAGGAGTTCCGGGCTTCCTTCCTAGCGCTGGATTCCCCTTGGCAGTGAGTATTGGTCGGAGGCATAGACATTCTATTATCGAGAAACATCATACGTATTTGATATTTAGAAATATTTATCACAATAACAAGTGATATTAATGTAAATCATGCCCAAGTGGATTGAAAGCGGATCTCTTTTGTTTTATAAACAATATTTTCATTCAGGATGTCTTAGCCTATGTAAAACCCCTCTCCCTAGATAATATACATACATAGTATTAAAAAGGAACAAAATGTGTGTATATACACAGTTAGAATGACAAACACATACATACGGATGACATTTTGGATTTTATTGGATTTTATATAATGATTTTTGGGGTTAAATGTCTGCTTTCGTTCGAAAATTAACTGATTTGGCGATGTGAAATAACTATGTCGAGACAGGATGCTAAAATTAGTTTTATAAAAGTCAACGCTTGATTTTGATTAAAATGTGGGGGGGTTGGATGGCAGAATGGTTAGCGCGCGCGCTAATGGTTAGCGTGTTTCGAATCCTCGGTTGTACGTGACAAGGAGTAGGGTCGCCTGTCCAACCTCGTGGGTTTTCTCCGGGTCCTCCGGTTTCCTCCCACTGCTAAAGACCCCTATGCGCAAGCGAATTATTGAAATAAAATTAAACCATATGTTAGTCCCGAAATGACCTAGTTGTGTCGAATGGACGTTAAACCTCATTTTTCTCTTTCTTGATTAAAATGAACAGAGAATGCATTTAAGGTGTACTCTTAAACTGGGTCAATCATACGTGGCCAACCAAGTGGAAACAGGACCCTGCCTCAAATATAGCTGATTTCTAGGTAATGATCAGCCATGCATGTCAGACAAAGCGATGTGGCAATTCATTATTTCGCAAGCAGAAATATGCACCTTTTTCAAACATACGTAATTGTATTGGAAAAGGATGTGGTAATCTTCCATTTGTAATTGTATGATCAAAGGATGTGGTAATCTCCTATTTGTAATTGTATTGGAAAAGGGTTTGTCAATTAGTGTATATACAGGTGCTGAACTAAACAAACACACCCACAAAATTGTATTATAGTGACATCTCTCATTTGTACGGAGCCGCTTAAAAGTTCGCTAAACGAACAATTCATTATTCTAAAGCTAAAGTTGTCTATTGCAGTTGTTTCTTTAGACCTTAAATAATTATCAATTATACATTTATTAACTTTCCAATAGCATAATCAACTGTCGATGCCATCAGATGCTCGAGATTTTCAACAGTTTTAAATACAATTTGCGGTTGATGATTTAAATTGAAAATAGTCAATCGAGACTTTATTGATAGTCGTGACAAAGGTAGCAATGACAATCGTGACTACACTGTCCTGCAAACAACGATAACTCCACTCAAAATGGAGTACTGTTACCGAGATTTTCAACATATATTCCCATTTCACTATCTATTTAACTATACTCAGCCAAATTAAATACTTGACACTCGGGATTTTTTGGACTAGATTTTTAATATTTGGTTTAAGGCAACTCTATATATGCGACTGTGCTCTGTTATATTATCTTGACGTTTATTAGAAGTTCTTATGCTGGGGGTGCGTAGCTCTAATACGTCGAAGCACAGCGCTCTATCAAAATATTTTTTATTCAAGGAGCTTTAATCTATATAAGAAACATAAGTACTAATTATTTGAACATCATAAAACAAATAAAGATATATTGAATTCATAATTAAAACATCAATTACAAATTATCTATTAATGAATAATTGAATATATAATTTTAGCATATATTATGTGACCAAGTGTAATTCTAAGCTATTTCACGTTATCATATTATGCATAAAAGAAACATACATTAATCAATAAGCGATTATAAAGTATTATCATACTATGTGAATAAGTGTAGTAAACTATTTCACATCATAATATTAGGTATAACATAAACATATATACTAAATGAATTATTAGGCGACCCAATTATAAACTAACTCACCTATAAGAAACATAAGTACTAATTATTTAACGTTGAACTGGGTTTATTAACGAATGAACATAAGTGTCCGTATTTCGTCTCTTATATTTATATACCCAATCGCTTTCGCCAACTTAATATCTTAATAATAATTAAACTAGAAATATTTGAACATATACATGATAAGGGTTAAACATATAATACAAAATATGATATAAATTAACATATTTACATTACTGAGACTTAACTCAAATATAGGTACATACTGAATCAATGACTAAGATGCATGTTAAGTAATATTAAATTATTTTAAGATAGATGTTCAGAAAAAGTAAATAGATAAGACAGTGCGTTCAGATTAGAATGATCATGGTTCAGAATAAAGATAAACATTAAAGCAATTACAAATGT